GTGTTATGGTTCTTTAGCTTGTATTTAGCATTCTGTTTCAGTTAGCTTTTAGCTTGTGTTATGGTTCTTTAGCTTGTATTTAGCATTCTGTTTCAGTTAGCTTTTAGCTTGTGTTATGGTTCTTTAGCTTGTATTTAGCATTCTGTTTCAGTTAGCTTTTAGCTAGTGTTCTGGTTCTTTTAGCTTGTATTTAGCATTCTGTTTCAGTTAGCTTTTAGCTTGTGTTATGGTTCTTTTAGCTTGTATTTAGCATTCTGTTTCAGTTAGCTTTTAGCCAGTGTTTAGCTCAGTAGTGAGTTGTTAGTTGTGACAGAGAACATCAGATGTTCTGTCGGTTCTGACGGACCTTCAGCTTGAGTCGGGTCCGGCCCTCTTCATCCAGCATCTCCTCATCCTCGAACTCGTCCTCGTAGTACTGTGGGTCAAAGGGTCTGGAGGGGCGGAGTCAGGAGAAATAGGAAGTTTAGCTGTTATTTCCAGCAGACCTTTAGTTACTGTGCCCCCCACCCCCCATGGTGCTGTGGTTCTGACCTGGGCTCCACAGACAGGAAGTTGGGCAGCTTAACAAAATAAAGGTCCGATCCCAGATCCGTGCTAACTTTTGGGATCTCCACTTCGATGCGAGTCTCGGGCGCGGGCTCCTCCTCTGCCTGCTCCCCTTCCATCCCCTCCTCTCCGTCCTTCACACAAACACAGTTTAGACTCAGGACCCAAAGGACTGCCGGGAACCGGACCGGACCAGGTCAGAGAGACCAGTACCAGAGGCTGTCCCGGGGTCGGAGGCTTTTCTGCGTCGCTGTCTGAAGAGATGTCGTCGGCCTCTCCGAACAGGTCGTCAGCTGCCGTGGTGTTCGCTGCAGGAAGGATCAAACGTGACTTCAAACGTGAAAACAAACGGATCAAAGTGAAAAAAGCGAAAAGAGTGAAACTCGTCTCACGTTTCTTCGTTTCAGCGTCGCTGTCAGAATCTGAATCTGACGCAGCTTTAGGTTTGGTTTTCTGTCGGATGAACTCGTCTTCACTGTCGCTGCCTTTGGCAGAGTCTGGAGACCAGAACCAGAACAACTCCGTAAAAACTGGTTTGGGTCGTTTTTATCTAAAAACTCTCTCATGTTCATTAAATAATCTGAAATAATCTGACTTAATCTGATATAATCTGGTGTAATCTGATATCTGATGTAATCTGAAATGATCTGATATAATCTTATTTAATCTGGAATAATATGAGATATCCGAAATAACCTGATGTAATCTGATATGATCTGAAATAACCTGATAATATCTGGAATAATCTGATATAATCTGAAATAATCTGATGTAATCTGAAATAATCTAATATGAAAAAAATTTGATATAATCTGGTGTGTTTTTGATATAATCTGGTGTAATCTGAAATAATCAGATATATGAAATAATATGATATAATCTGGTATAATCTGATGTTATCTAATATAATATGAAGTAATCTGATATAATCTGGTGTAATATGAATTAATATGATGTAATCTGATGTATTCCAAAGTAATCCGATATAATCTGGAACAATCTGATATTATATAGAATATGAAATAATCTGGTATAATCTGATATAATCTGGTATAATCTGATAACCAATAAGTGGTCCAGGTGAACCCTGCAGCACCTGACTTCCTGTTCCTCAGACCCTCGTCCTCAGAGTTCTCTCTATCTTCGTCAGAATAGTGTGGTTTCTCCTCCTCGTCCTCCGACTGGTCGCTCTTAGCTCCTCCCCCTTCCCACTTCTCGTCATCCGATTGGTTCTCCCTGACCGACGCCTCCCCGTCCGAGTGAGGGGTGCCCGGCCCCGACTGAGGGGTCCCGGGGTCGCTGTGAAGACTGGACCAGAACAAGAAGATGAGAAATGAAGAGAATCAGTCAGAAAAGCCTGAAATCCTTCTTAGCTCCGCCCCTCAGCTGTCACCTGCAGAGGTGGGATCCTCTGCAGGTGTTCGCTCGGCTCTTCTCCTCCCATCACATGAACCTCTGTTCTTTAGAACCGAGTCGTGGTACCTTCTGTCCGACTGGACGCTGCCACGTCCGGAGCGGGGGCTCCCGGCGCCGGACCCCACGCTGCTGGCCGGGCTTCCCCCGCCCGACCTGTGTCCCACGTTGTCCTCATCTTCGTCCTCGTCCCGTTGGCCGTGCTCCGACCCGCTGTGCTGCTCGGCCTCAGAGCGGTCGTCCTCTCCCTGGTCCGAGTGCACGCTGGCGTCTGACTGGTTCCCGGAGCGTTCTGATTGGTTGTCGTTGTCGCTGCCGCTGTGCTGGCTGCGCTGCTCGTCCTCGCTGTCGTCTCCAAACAGCTCCTGTGAGCCAGAGACAAGTCAGAGACAAGTCAGAGACGAGTCAGAGACCAGTCAGAGACAAGTCAGAGACGAGTCAGAGACCAGTCAGAGACGAGTCGGAGACAAGTTAGAGACGAGTCAGAGACCAGTCAGAGACGAGTCGGAGACAAGTTAGAGACGAGTCAGAGACCAGTCAGAGACGAGTCGGAGACAAGTTAGAGACCAGTCAGAGATGAGTCAGAGACAAGTCGGAGACGAGTCAGAGACCAGTCAGAGACAAGTTAGAGACAAGTCAGAGACCAGTCAGAGACCAGCCAGAGACCAGTCAGAGACAAGTTAGAGACCAGTCAGAGACCAGCCAGAGACGAGTCAGAGAAAAGTCAGAGACCAGTCAGATACAAGTCAGAGACGAGTCGGAGACGAGTCAGAGACCAGTCAGAGACAAGTTAGAGACCAGTCAGAGACGAGTCAGAGATGAGTCAGAGACCAGTCTGAGATGAGTCGGAGACGAGTCAGAGACGAGTCGGAGATGAGTCAGAGACAAGTCAGAGACGAGTCAGAGACGAGTCAGAGACCATTCAGAGACCAGTCAGAGACAAGTCAGAGACCAGTCAGAGACGAATCAGAGACGAGTCAGAGATGAATCAGAGACGAGTCAGAGATGAGTCAGACAAGTCAGAGACCAGTCAGAGAAGAGTCGGAGACGAGTCAGAGACCAGTCAGAGATGAATCAGAGACGAGTCAGAGACGAGTCAGAGATGAGTCAGAGACGAGTCAGAGACGAGTCAAAGACGAGTCGGAGACGAGTCAGAGACCAGTCAGAGACAAGTTAGAGACCAGTCAGAGACCAGTCAGAGATGAGTCAGAGACCAGTCTGAGATGAGTCGGAGACGAGTCAAAGACGAGTCGGAGACAAGTCAGAGACCAGTCAGAGACAAGTTAGAGACCAGTCAGAGACCAGTCAGAGATGAGTCAGAGACCAGTCTGAGATGAGTCGGAGACGAGTCAAAGACGAGTCGGAGACAAGTCAGAGACCAGTCAGAGACAAGTTAGAGACCAGTCAGAGACCAGTCAGAGATGAGTCAGAGACCAGTCTGAGATGAGTCGGAGACGAGTCAAAGACGAGTCGGAGACAAGTCAGAGACCAGTCAGAGACAAGTTAGAGACCAGTCAGAGACCAGTCAGAGATGAGTCAGAGACCAGTCTGAGATGAGTCAGAGACGAGTCGGAGATGAGTCAGAGACAAGTCAGAGACGAGTCAGAGACCAGTCAGAGACAAGTCAGAGACAAGTCAGAGACCAGTCAGAGACAAGTTAGAGACCAGTCAGAGACCAGTCAGAG